TTCTAAAATAGGACAAATGTCCCTCATTCCAAAATCCATCTCTCCACTGTCCAAATTAGCCATTTTGCAGAGATTAAGATGAGTCTCTGGCCTCTAACAATAGGTCTAGGGCTGAGTCGATCTGTCTCTCATTTGCAGGATTAACTAATGCTTGCTATTGTTTGGTTTTGGGTTACACCCAGCAGTACTCAAGATCTATTCCTTGGTCTGTGCTCAGGAGTGAACCTTGACAATGCTCAGGGACCACCTGTGGTGCCAGGGATTTGAACTGGGGCCAGCCCCATTCAAGGCAAATGCCTTACCTCTTGTACTACCTCTCAGGTCCCTGATTTGAAAGAGGAAAATTATGGCTGTTGCTTGGAGGGAGAGACTTCTTTATGCATCTTGCTTCTCACACTGTGTGACTGTTGGTAGATGCTCCAGGAAAACTGATAGAATGCGGAAGACAAGGAGAGGAATGAGTGGAGCGCAGTTAAAAGGATTATACACATGGACAAAGGAAGCAGACTTGACTGAGCCAATGCCTTATCCTCATTAACATTGTTTTTCCTACCCATCTGAAATTAAAAATATAAAAGTGCACCAGGTAAACATGACTTTCCTTATCTATCTAGTTCCTGTATTTATTGAACTCAGTATGTGAGTTGACTATGAACCACTTTGTTCTTTTATGTTTGCCGGATCTGTTACTCTCCATTTGAGTTCAAACTTTCAGGGAGCAGAGACCACAGCTATTCAATTTGCTTTGTATGGTGTCCAGCAAAGGGCTGTTGTACAGTGTCACTGGGATGTCCTGGACTTGGACCCTGGAGAAATGTGCTAGCTCTGGGGGTATGACCCTTATAATCTGGAACACATAACCATTTGCTGTTTAAACAAACAGGGAGAACACCATTTTCTACCAAGCTTCTCTTCTAGGGTTGAGGAAAGGATTCCATGAGGCAATGCTGGAGAAAAACTTAGAGAAATTGTTAGATGCATGGCTTTACAAAATTATGAGATACATTTTAATGCCAATGAGAGCAGAGTAATCCAAATCTGAACTCTTAAGATATTTGAAATGGAGATGCTGTGACCCAGAGTCCATCACTGTAGGGACCTGTGAGAACCAGAGACAGTTCCAGATAATAGTTAAAAGCTGGAGACTGAAGTGTAACAGGCTGTCCTAATAGCCTTCTTCATCTCAGCCCCAGGGCAAAACAAATGTACTCACATGTTTGCCTTTTTGGTTCATTTTTTTCCCCCTTGTATGGTAACCTGGCACATTTAATCAACCAACCTTCCTTCCTTCCCTTCTTTTCTTCTTTCTTTCCTTCTTTTTTCTCTCCCCCCCTCCGTTCCTTTCTTCCTTTCCTTCTTTCATTTTTGGGTCACAACCAGAGCTGCTCAGGGGCCATTTCCAGCAGGGCTCAGGGGATCATATGTGGGCCAGGAGTTGAACCAGAGTTGATTGGATGCAAGGCAAGACCTAAATCTCTGTACTGTTTCTCCAGCCTTAGTGCTTAACTTTTCATGAAAATTCAAAATGGGGATAGGGGAGGTGAAGGGGCACAGAAGAAGCTGATCATTGCCTTGAACACTCCTTAGGACAACTCTTGTATGAACATACATATGTGCCTACAAGTTGTATGGCAGAATAATAAGAGTTCAGCTTTCTATACTGCTTCTAAAGACCTTCACTTAAGGGATAAGGGAAATGAGTAAAAGGGGAGTCGAGGATAACTCTGCTCATTCTGTAAAGAGGCAGTTTCCTTTATGAAGGCCTTCAGGGTGAGAGCTGGGGAGTTATACTTAGGAAAGAAATGATGAGGTGAATGCGACCTATAGCCAACTGAGATCTCAGACTGGAAAATGCTCAGAGCTCACAATCCCAGGTGAACTGACTGTGAAATTCACAGCACTTCAAAGAGAGGGTCAGGAGCCTGTGATCAGGGCCCTGAGTGGGGTGCAGGTGAAAGGGGTGGTCCTAGTTAATGGGTTGGTGGGGAGCCCAAAGGCACTGTGCCTAATAAGGCCAGATGGTAAGAACCAAGAGTGATTGGGGATATGTTCATGGACATGGGGATCCAGGAAATGCAGTGAAAGGGGAACCTTTCCAGGCTACCAGGGCTCACCTTCCCAGATCGGACAGTTCCTCTGCTATTGCAAGAGATTTCCAAACTGCTAGAATGTATAGAATCTTTTACCAAAACTTTTTATTTTATTGTTTCTAGGTCACAACTAGTGGTACTCAGGCATCACTCTTGGTGAGGTTCAGGGAACTATAAGTGGTGCTGAGGATTGAACCTGGGTCGGCTGCATGTAAGGCAAATACCCTAACCACTGTACAGTTGCTTTGACTCCAAAACTTTTAATTGTTTTAATATTTTGTTTTAGTTACCATAATTTACAGTACTATTAATCTTTCTTACTAAATTTTTTGTTTTGGGGCCACACCTGGCAGTGCTCAGGGCTTACTCCTGGTTCTATATTCAGCAATCATTCCTGGTGGTGCTTGGGGGACCATATGGGGTGCTGGGGATTGAACCCAGGATGACCATGTGCAAAGCCATGTGCCCAACCCACTGTACTGTCTTTCCAGTCCATGAAAACATTTTTGAAGAACTGTCCCAGCCCAAGAAGCCAGGATGACACCAATACGGTCAGATGTGGGTGTGAAGTGTAGCTCCTGATGATCTTATGCCACAGGACTGTAGGGCCAGAATACAGAAAACAGAGGCACTGGTGCCGCCAGGGACCAGAGCCCTGTTCTGGATGTGATGAGTGATGGCACTGACTGGCAGCCTCCTTCAGCAAGTTTGTGAAGAAGAGGTCTGGTAGAGTAGGGAAGATGGCATCTCTCTGCCAGCACTCAGGCCTGAGCCTCCAAAGTACTCCGAAGTATCAATCACAAAGGCTTTAGAAACACAGAAGCAAGTCCCATAGTCCTGGAAAGAAACAGGACAAAAAACAACAAAAAAATGACAGAGACATAGATTCAAGGATGGCCAACATAGAAGTGAATGCTATAACCATCCATCCACCCCATGTCAAGACAGTCTGTGTTTGGCCTCCAGGAGTAGGGAGTGGGTTTTCAGAGTGAGCCTATCAAACTTTCTGGAAGATCGCAGCACAGCCCCATGGTGGGAAACCAGGCTTCTTTCTGTTTGGGAGCGGCTGACTGGGCTGGGTGACTTTAGCTGAGCCATTAAATGTTCCTTGGCACAAATTTCCTTCTTTGGGAATATACCTGTCTTGCCTGCCTCTCAGGGTGGCTGGAAGACAGGATGAGATAATGGATCTAACCTCCCTGCAAAGAGCTATAAAGCACTCATCAAACGTGGAGGGGAAGACTACTACTGTTCTAATTACTGGGAGCCCTTCAGCAGGTTGCTCATGGGAGAGTCACAGAGATGGGAAGAGTCACCTCTTACCACTCTGCACGCCCCTTGGAGAGCCCTGACTGAGGGACTGGATTCAAGAGGGCAAATATGGCATTTCAGGCAGAGATTCTGAGCTTATCACCCTTCATGGATGTCGAATTCTTTATGCTGAACCTAAGTCTTTTCTTTTACTGCTAATGCTTCTGTTCTGAGGAAAGATTTCCTTCTCTCTACCCGATGAAACAGTGTATTATTTTAAGTACTTATACCCTGAAGACACTGACTACCAAAGAACCCGACCCGGAGTTGCCAAATACGATCCCTGGAGTGTGGAGTCCAAGGATAACAGAAACCAAGTATTTGTTTGAGAAAGGGGCCAGGGTTAGCCCTTGACTCCTTTATTTATAGTTTCAATCTCTTCCCTAACTTTGTCCCAATCTCAGGCCATTTTACTTCCTATAGGATCTTTTTTCCCCTGAGGGGAAGTGCTATTTTGGGTAGAAGTCTGTATCAAAAATGAGGAAGTCAGCTTTAGTGAAGAATATTTGTTCAGTGTGTTTGAGATAATAGAAGTGGGATAAGGCACTTGGGTTAAGACAGAATTTGAGAAACCTCTGAGAAGTTGGGTTTCTGACGGCCCCTCTGCCCCTCCAACTGCTGAGGTCTCGCCCTCTCAGCACTCCAAACTTTTCAAATCAGGGGCACCCTCTCGTGCCTCTGAAATTGGATAAGTGCTACCTTGTTTGCTAACAGCACCATTAATTATATTAACGATTAATAGCTAATTAGTCATAGTACTGTAATACACCATGGAGATTTCCTATCTTGCAACAGCTCTGAGGCACCTTCCCCTCCCGGCTAGCGAACAAGTGTGGCTCTCCATTTTCCAACCCGCTGTGGCACTCTCAGTTTCTGCAGTTTTTCGTCGGCGGCCTCATCCATCTGCGGAGTGACACTACAGCTCGTGTCCAGTCTCTGGTATTTCTGTCCCGTCGCTCACTCCCACACGTCCCCGAGTCCCCAGGAGGCCAGTCAGGATCCCCCTCCCCGCCCCCGACGCACACCCCTGATTTCCTCCAGGTGCTTCTCCTTCTCAACCTCCCTTGGCCCTCCTCTTCGCCTTCGGGCCCCTTCCTCCACTTCACCTTTCCTCAAGCCTGAGCCGCCCCCTCAGGTCCCGGGACCCCAGCCCGCGGGCCCCAAGCCCGCCCCGACTCCAGGTCCGGGCTTCCTCTCGGCAACCACGCCCCCAGACCCAGGGCGCGCGCGGTGCGCACGCGCAGTCCACGCCTTTACCTGGGCGCCCGGCAGTGGGCGGAGTGGGCGGGGTGGGGGAGGCGGGGGTGGAGCGCGGGCCGGCGGTTGATCTGGGCAGACGAGCGCTCGCGGGGTGGCAGGAGGGAGAAAAAGGTGCGCCCGGGCCGGCCCCGCGGGCTGCGCATGCGCGCCGCCGCGCCCCGCGGCCGGGATGCCAGGGGGCGGGCGGAGGGAGGCGTCGGCAGCCCAGTGGGGCGGGGGCGGGGGGGGCCCGGCGCGCTGAGGGGCCGCGGGCGCGCGCGCGCGCGCTCTCGCCGCCGCTCGCCCTCGCTCCCCCGCCCCCCTCGCGCACACACAGACACACCGACGCACAGACACACACACGCACACACACACGCACCCTCCCCTGCCTCCCTCCCCGCGCGCCGCCCGCCCGCCCCGCCGGCCCCGCTCGCCCTCGCGCGCTCGGAAGGGAGTCGCGAGACGTCGGAGCGGCGGCCACGTAGCGCTGCGGCGGCGGCGGCGGCGACGGCGGCGGCGGCGGCGGTGGCGGCCGAGGCCGGGTCTGTGGAGCGGCCCTGAGGACAGACGTTGGGCGGGGTGGGGGGGAGGGGCCGGCCCGGCCGGCGGTTGTTACTCGAGCGCCGCGGCTACAGGCCCCCCGCCGCAGGGATGGACCGCCGAGGCGGCGGTCGGGGCGGCGGAGGCGGAGGCGGCCGGCCCGGGTGAGTAGGAACCCCCGCACCCCCAGCCCCCACCTCGCACACGCCACAGTGGCGGCTGCACCCCCTGCAGCCTGCTCTTCCTCCCCGCTGCCCGCCGGGCCGGCCGGGGCTCTGCGCGCAGGGCTCACCCTCTGCCGAGGCAGCTGCGTGCACTAGGCCGGAGCAGCCCCCATCCGGCGGGGAGGCCCGGGGCGCTGCGCTTGTGTGGCCCAGAGCTTGGGCCGGGGAGAAGTGGGGCGGTGGGGGGAGGTGGGGGGCGCCCGCCTCTGCCCCTTTCGCCGCTTTCCTCTCGGGGACCCGGGGCTGGGCTCCAGTTTTGCAGGGAGTTAGCTGGCCCGGAGGCCTGGATGGGAGCTTGTGGCACGGGTTAGCGGCCGAGGGGGGAGGTCTGCCCCGCTCCTCCGGCGGGCGAGCGAGCGTTCTGCCCTGCAGCTGGTGGCTCGCACCCCTTGTCTCCCCCGCCCTGCGGCTGCGCCCGAGCCTCCCACCCCGGGGAGTATTGTGCCTCCCGAGATCAAATGCATCGCGTGTACACCCGCCTCACGCTCACCCCAGAGGGTTGTGCAGACCTTTCGCCACCCCCACCTTCGCCTCCCCTCCAATCAGACTCCAACTTCAGATGCCAGCCTCGACGGGAGACACGAAATGTAGTGACACCCCCGTGCAGCTGTAACGTGCTCATTGTCGAGGGAAGCCCCTGCCTCCCCCGCACGAAGTCGAGCTCCGCGATTGACGATCCCATATGCTCTTTGAAGAGGGCCAGTCTTTGATCAATCTCGTGGGTCCCTCCCCCACCACCCCCCACACGCGCGCACATACACACGCGCGCGCACACACACACACACACACACACACACACTCTCTTCCTGATTGTTGAGCGGCCCCTGTCATCGCCATTGTCAAAGAATAGCCCAGCCAATCAAAGGAATGTGCTTTTTTTTTTTTTTTTGCCATTGGAGAAGGGTGCTTGCCGCAACCATGGTCTCAGGATGTTCTTTCCCCAGTTGGCCTTGTGCTGGTTCTCGCATGGCCCCCAGGTTCTAGCATCAGCGGCAAAGCAAGTGCCTTCCCCACTCCCGACCCTCAGTGTAATATCAAAGTGATGCTTGGACCCCGTGAATGAGCTCCACATGGTGTATTGGGATCGCGGTGACATTGTAGTGTTGAACGCCGGTGGGCAGGACAGTGCGCCAGTAGGACAGTCAGAGGTATTTGGGGTAGAGTGTCTAGGATCGGGTCTCCCCTCACTGCCGAGGGATGTCCAGGCCCTGTATTGTTCTGGGACTGGTAACTGGCACGCTTTGTTGACAACATGTGTCTGTTTGAGGAGGAAGAACTGCGGTGGCTGGGTGTGTGTGCCCAGTGCGGGTGATGTTCCTGCTGAGGGCTAATGTGAGCGGGGTGACTGCCCCGGGGTCTTCTGTGCTGGCCGGCAGCGGGGTTGTTTGTATCACAAGTGCACATGAATTCAGAGCGATACTTACTCCCTTTAGTAAGATTTTTGTTTAGAATGTTCTCCCCAGAGAACATTTTAGTGATCCTCCTGGAAATGGCTGCTTCAGCGGTTCTTAACCTTACTTTGGGGGATGCTGAAGCCCCTAGGAAGGACCCCTCCCCCCCAGGTCCCCCCCCCCTTCAGTGAAACAGACAATTTTGTATGCAATTCTGGTCTTGAGGTAGGTTCTGGGTTGCACAAAAGTGAAAGGAACTTGAGTCTTGTCTTTGTTTCTTAAGGATTTGCATTTACCTTGTCTGGTTCTGAGCAATAAACAACAAAGTAGGCTATGTGTGTATCCTGTGCTTCCTTCTTTGATTACAATCATTTAAGTATTTGTGTATCTTTTCTGTCTTCCGGTGAGAATGGAGATACTTGAGTGCTTCAGAAAAAGTTAAAACTGGACTAAAAGTTACTTGTTTGATTTGACCAATTGACAATGTATGTTCCTTGCACTCTATATTTTAAATGTAGCAGAATTTGACAGCAAAGTCAGTGATCCTCTTTATGATGTCTGCCTGGAATCTTTGTTACTGATTGAAGTCGTCTGAGCCTTTATAATATGGAGACTTGAGTGATGGAACAGTCCATAGTGTCCATAGGGCTCTTTCCTTGCACCTTGCCAACCCACTTCAACCCCTAGCACCCGATTTGGACCCCCGAACCCACCAGGAGTGGTTCCTTAGAAGGGAGCTGGGATTATCCCTGAGTACAACTGGGTGTGGCCCAAAAGTAAAAACTGAAAAAAAAGAGGCTGTATCGTTCTCATAGTAGAGCACTTGTGCTTTTTTTTTTAAACTTAATTAAGTATCTTTCATGCCTTTATTAAGGTCGACACATTGCCAAGAGAATCGTATGTTTAATTTTTTGTTTTAATGGAGGGTTTTGATTGTGTTTAGGGAATTCAGTTTCTTCATTTAGAATGAGGAACTGGGGATAAAAGTTTTACCAATCTGTCAGTAAACAGGGGATAAATATCAGCTATTCCTGTTTCAGTCACTGGGCACCCAGTCTTTGCCTGTGATCCCATTTCAGTCAAAAGACATTTATTCCACCTTGTAATCGTGTTGTGATCAGCACTGACATAAACAGTCTCCAGCTCTGCAGGAGTTTAGGATTCTGACAATGTTTTTTCTAAAAGAGTTCTTTGAGACTGGTAGAATGTTTGCGAGGGGGGCGTTCTGAGAGGCTAAGGAATTCCTGGTATTGGCATATTTTTGGAAGGCAAGGAAGATCAGGAATCTTGCACAGAACCTGTTCCACACACCTGAAGAATAGCATTTATTCTAATAATTATGTAGTGTGCCCTATTAAGTTTGAAAGCTTGCTGAGATTGCAAGTATCACTTTATTATCTCATAAATGTGCTTGAAAATGGCCTTCTATTGCAGGTTATATTTTTTTGGCGATGCCTGAAGTTTTACTGTTGGAAATTATTTGCCTTATCTTGAGCCCAATCTCTTTCAAAGTTACAAATATGTTACCTTTTTTTTTTTGTCAGCATATATAGTGACCCAGCATTAGGGGTTCAGGGGACAGTGTGCTTCCTTGATTTACTACTGCAGAACCGCTTCTCACCAGTCACTTACCTAGTTAAACACCCACTCACCGCAGAGCAGCTGATCATATAACACCTATGACTGTGGGAGCGGTCTCACTGCCAGATTCAGAGCCTGGAAGCCGGAAAACAATCGCCTAGCAGTGGAACGCTTAAGGAAGCAGTAGTGGTGCCAGCAGCTCACTCGTTAAAGCAAACAGCTCGCTTTAGTTTCTTCAACACACTTCTCCAGACACCCTTCCCTGAGGAGGTTTCAGATCAGCAGTTCCTGCTCAAGGGAAACAGCGGCTGCTTTCTGCAGTTGTGGGCTCAAGATCTGACTGGTGGCATCCAGAAATGTTTCCCTTTCTGCTCTCAGTGTGGGAAGTAATCTTGTAGTGTGGTAAGAAAAATACTTTTCAAGTCTGTAGAAAAAGTTGATCAGTAGTCCTGCTGTTGTAATTTTGTTTCTGAATGCCTGAAGCCTAGGGAAGAAGTAAACTGTTGAACAACTAGTTGTTTTGTTGTTGTTATTTTCTTTTCTTTTTTCTTTTTTTTTTGCTTTTTGGGTCACACCCAGCGATGCTCAGGGGTTACTCCTGGCTCTGCACTCAGGAATTACTCCTGGCAGTATTCAGGACCATATGGGGTTCTGGGAATTGAACCCAGGTCGGCTGTGTGCAAGGCAAATGCCTTACCCGCTATGCTGTCACTCCAACCCTTGTTGTTGTTATTTTCAATCTTACCTTCTCAAGGGTTTTATAATCTCACTCAAATGTGAGTCTACTTTTGAGTTTCGTTTCCCTTGTTTTAAAAAGTCAGTTGAGGCACAGCTTAACAACAACAAAACGTTCTATAGCTTCTCTTGTTTTATGAACCCTAGTCTTTGGAATTAGTTATTCCAAAGGAGAGAACTAACAGTATTTCCTCACTGGGAACCCTTGGGTCTTGTGCTATGGTTTTAGGTATCTTTCTTTTCCAGCCATTGCTATCATCGTTTCAGACAGCACTTTGAATTCATTTTGATAGGGGTGAACTGATTTTGTAGTTAGTGATTTTGAGTAAGGATCAGAGAGATCGGTCTTGGAGTCAGGCTGAATTAAATTTGAATTGTCGCCTCACCATTTATTGGCTTATAGCATTGGGCAAGTCACCTTGACCTCTCTGGCCTCAGTTTCTTCATCCACAGGTGGGATTTGTTATGAGGATTAGAGATAATATATGTAAGCTTTTACCACAGTTCCTGGCACATGTACTTATTTAAGACTCAGTAAACGGTAGGACACAGGTGTTGTGGGAGTGAAACACAGATCATTTTGCTTAAAAGATTTAGAGGTCTGGCACTGGGCTCTGCATACTTTTATTTGTGCAGATTTGGGATGAAAAAATTGCAAATATTTGATTTGGAGCATACTTAAGTCCTGCAGGTGCAGTGTGCTTATTGGAACTTTGATTTGTTGCTCTATGGCTGACTCAACCTGGGGGAGACAATGCAATCAAGCTCCCAAATTGACAGCATTCTGCACAGACTGTACTTGTTTTAAGCCTATTCAGAGCTTGTATGGTGAAAGGGGTATTTTAGGATCTCAATTTATCTCAATGAGTTCTGTGTTCAGAGTAGAATTGTGCAAAGCCTTGTGTAAATTTTTATGGTTAATGCAAACTGGGAAGTGCTCAATAGAATCAGTGAATGTGGGGCTGGAGGGATAGCACGGCGGGTAGGGCGTTTGCCTTGCACGCGGCCGACCCGGGATCGATTCCCAGCATCCCATATGGTCCCCCGGGCACCGCCAGGGCTAATTCCTGAGCGCAGAGCCAGGAGTAACCCCTGTGCATCGCCGGGTGTGACCCAAAAAGCAAAAAAAAAAAAAAAAAAAAAAAAAAAAAGAATCAGTGAATGTATCAGATGTTCATTTTAGTTAATCTGTTTATATAGCAATAACTTTTTAAAAAAATAGCAGTAACATTG